GTAGGGAGTGGTCCGAAGAGCAGGTAGAGACTGCTGCCGTTCTCTGTTTAGTATATGGTACGTACATGAATCGCCTGTTCATACCCTTTGGTTTTACATTAAAATTATATTTACATTAACCTAGGTAAATTCATCGAGGTGTGGAGGCAGAAAGAAGCTGCGTTGCAGAACAGTCGACTTACTCGACTTTTACTTGCAAATTCTGCCCACGAGGTTCGCACTCCACTGAATGCAATCATCAATTGTTTAGAGATTGCTATGGAGGGGCAACTAGACCACGAGACTAGAGAAAATTTGGCAAGATCTCACTCAGCATCTAAATCGCTTATCTATGTGATTAATGACCTTCTTGACCTCACCAATATGGAAGAGGGTCAAGAGTTGATCAAAGACGAGTTATTGGACTTGCCAGCCTGTATCCGCGAAGCGACGGAACCCTTTAAAGTAGATGCTAAGCGAAAAGCTTTGTCCTACGAACTCATCGAACACCCTGGTCTCCCCCGATACGTCCATGGCGACTATCGTCGAGTACGTCAGGTAGTGGCAAATATAACAGCAAACGCTATGCAGCATACGAGCAAGGGTTCAATAAGGGTCGAATCATACGTCACTGAAGTTCTCGAGTCACGGGTTAAAATTGAAATTGTTGTTCAAGATACAGGTCGCGGTATGAGCAACGAAAAGTTGGATGATCTTTTTCGAGACCTAGAGCAAGTTAGCTTAGATGCGGATTCATATACTTCTGTTGACGACACCGAGAAGCCAGAGAATGACCGCTCGCTAGGTCTAGGTCTCGCGATGGTCGCGAGGATATTGCGGAATATGAATGGCCAGCTGCGACTAAAATCTGAAGAGGGGAAAGGATCAAGATTCGTCATCCAGCTTCCTTTTGAATTGCCGAGAGGTGAATCGCTGGAGAAAGTCGGCGATATCGATAGAGCTGATAACCCCAAAGCTATTTCGAGTACCGCTCCTATCGTCAAAGCTCTCCCCTTAGCTGATGCAAATGAAGTTATGCTCGTTGACCGAAAGAGTTCCCTTCCAATCAACCTGTCGAGACGCACGAACGCTGAAATGCGGAGTTTTGACGAGGCCAAGAGTTCCAGTAGTATAAAGAGCGGCACTAGCAACAGTGCTCATAGCAACAAAAGTGATGCGGAGCGCCTAATTGACGCAATTCAGACACCCTTATCAATAGGGAGCTTTGACGAGAGGACTGCTAGCATACAACGCTTGAATTCTAAGGAACGGCAAGATGGTATTCACACTGGTGCTGCTCTTTTGTCAGGATCAGGTGTGATTAACCCACCAGCCATTGGCGGCATCGACCATGAGCAGCCAGTTATGGGTCCGACTAAATCTCCCACAGACACACCCGGCGGTCAGTATCATGTTACAGATACCAGGACTTCCATAAAACCTGTCAGGGTGCCAGATGAATATTTAGATAAATTAGGGGCGTCGTCAATTGCTACTACGTCTCGGGTACTGCTCGGGACTGGTGGGAATGCTAAGGGTAACGAGGAGCAAGCAGGTAAACCCAAACTGATATCTCCTATGAGCTCGAGAAAACTACGGGTGCTCGTAGCTGAGGATGACCCCATCAACATGAAGATACTCCAAAGACGTCTAGAGAAATCTGGACATGATGTATATCATGCGGTCAACGGCGAAGATTGTGCTACTGTTTACAAAGAAAAGCTAACTAGCTTTGATGTCATTCTCATGGACATGCAAGTGAGTTGTTATTAACAAACCATACGTTAGGCATAACTGATAGTTATAGATGCCTATTGTCGATGGCCTTACTAGTACTAAGATGATACGAGCGTTTGAGAAGTCAGATAAGGGCTCAGATCCTTCTCATTTAGAGGCTGGCCATGAGAGAATCCCTATTTTTGCTGTGTCAGCATCTCTAGTGGAGCGGGAGAGACCGATTTATGTTGAAGCTGGGTTTGACGGCTGGATTTTAAAGCCGATCGATTTCAAGAGGCTTAACGTGTTGCTTGACGGAATTACTAACGATGGGGTTCGTGCCGAAAACCTCTACGTATCCGGTAATTGGGAAAGAGGGGGGTGGTTCTCCGTTGGGCTTGATGGCAAGAGCAGTCAGTCTTAACAATATATCTATATACGCCGGTATAGCACCTGGCGGCTACGTTAAAACCCAGCGACGACATAAAATTTAGCCTTGAGCTAAAGAAATTTCACGACTATACGTTTACATCAACTCTACGATACCATTTAGGACGGGCCTGGCAAGGAGTATATAACAGGAAATCTTAGATTTGGCATCTTTTGGTCTTATGACATCCATAGAGCCATGCACCATACGTATGATGACGTGTGCATTGGGATTCGGTACGGAACATGCTACTTCATATGGAACTATACGTCTAAGGGATGGATGAGTTAGCTTGGTTGTACATCGAATTTTTGCATTGGCTTGGAAAAGGATTCAAGAGCGGGTCTCTTGAGATTCGTATTTACCATCTAGTGGTAGGAGTAAGTTAAAGGGGGCGGATATTCCATGAAGATATACGCATTGCATGGAGTTTGGGGGCCGAATAAAAAAAATAGCGGGTTGGAGATTAGACGGTGCTTTAATAACTTCTTGTGTTCTATTTACTTGTTGGACGCAAGGTATTGTTCATGACCTCTTACTATACCCTTTCCACCCTGTATATGGATGTGGTATTCCGGGATAGAGGCTCGGTGTGTTGCCCTGCGTTGTAAGACGTTATACTAGTCTCGTGCGAATGCAAAATAGAATACCTTATACTTCGTACGAGGTTATACTTCAGTGAACATACCGGGAAGTGAAAGTTATTCGTGCACATAGGGCAGAGTAGGAGGCATAGCACAGTAGGGTTAACAACCTAAGTATGGAATAAAATCATTGAGTTGACTTGAGGGTCAGATTCGAAGCCTTCCATTATCTAGATGGTTATTTCGAACTCTCCGTCTCTATCTAATATACCCCATCCACATATTTACATCATGTGACTCATTACACGCGCGTTTCTCTCCTTATATTCGTGTCCTCAATTCCTCACCGCTCGTAGCCACCCAGGCCACCCGAAGAGACAGCAAATAACCCACATAATATACGTCGCCCAAAATATCAAACATTCGCATCCCTGAGTCCCAACAAGGTGATGCATACTCGCGCCCGTGATCCCTGATACCCGATTCTCCTTTTATATACATACAGGTCGTAAATGCGGTAAATATATGCATGTAAATGATAATATATCCCGTCAGACTCGGCGGTTACGTCTGCGTAACCGCCGTTGCTTCTGCGGGTGACTTTCGATTATAGCCGGAAAGGTCCTGACTTTGAGACTCGGAAATCCTGCCCCTTTCCGGGCAGATTATACCGCGCGATAGGCATGCCGAACTTTCAAGGGCAGCCGACGCCGCCGGGTGGGGACGGCTGCCGTAAGGGGGGTTTCCGAACAAGGAAATTGTGACGGCGCCGAATAAAGAATTAAGAGACAAGGCTCAAATAAAAAAAAAGGCAGAACCTCAGTCGTAGATAGCTATCTTTCTGTGTAAGATATCTTCTATCCTTACTCGTCGTCCGTTATGTTGGATCCTGTCCCGCTCTCTTCGGAGACTGTGCCTTGTGCCCGGGCCATGTGGACTAATCTGTAAATGCCGAAGGCGATGAGGGCTAGGACGATGAAGAGGAGGATGATGATGATGGCGATGACGTCGTTTTCCTTCATTCTTGCGGTTTGTCTGGAAAGAAGGAGGGTTGTATATAGGTGGAGGAGTGGTTTGAGATGATGGCGATATTATTCTTCAGAGTAGTCAAATTCCAATGGAATTAAGCTGTCAAGCTAGTGTAAGACAGATTGATAACTATACACTCTCTGATCTTGTCGTCGTCAAAGATAAGTAGTTATCGAATGATGTGACGCTGGACAACGTATCGTCGATGCGATAACGATAAGCAACGATAGATAGATAGCGAAGTGATGAATGGATGGTCCCCTTCGACAGTCGGGAACGGATCTATGTAAGTAATAGTTTGCTTCAATGCCGCTTGAACAAAATTCAAAAGACAGAATAGAACATAAAAATGTACTTTATTCAGATCGTAAGCAAGCAAAATACATAAAAGGTAGCAAAGTGAGAACGAAGGAAAAAAAGGATACGACAAATGGAATGGAATGGACATCGAGGTACAAATAGTATTGGTTGCCCCGCCATTCTATTCGAGTAAATAGCGAGGCTGGGCCTAAAAATCCGCAAGGCAGGAAGGAGGTTTCTTAGCTGCTTGGAACAGCGAACAACGAACAGCTGGGAAGCCGGGGGGGTACCTAGGCCGATAGGGTAAGTCGGGAAGAGCAGGGGTAGGTACCTAAGGTAGCTTTTCTTACCCGGTGGTTGGCAGCAGCTTGATGCAGGGGGTAAAACAAGGGAGAGGAAAACTGGCCCAAGCTTCAAGTCTAACTGTTTTAGCGTCTTATTCCCCAACCTCCGGATTTCGAGCTGCATCATGCCACGCCTACGTACCTCGTAGCTTTTGATACGCGTTAATTGTATACAGGGGGTACAACCAAATAGCCAGATGATTTCACAACGTAAAGCTGCCAAGGTAGAAAGGATCGGAGACGGCATAATACTGAAACTTATAAGTGACTAGTAGTAGCTATTATAATTAAGTAGAAGTCATCGGAAGGGAGAAAAAGATTAGAATTTTCTCAACGCGTTCGCCAATTGACCGGGTTATCGCATTCGCATCGCGTCGACACCGCGTCTTATGCCGATAACTTAGTTATATAATTGAGATTTTTCATCTCCTTGCGATTATCCACCATTCACTGTACAGACTAGAAGTTCATATAAGAACCCAGTATTTGTGTTAGTATTGAAGCATCATCCAAGCCCTTACTTAGTGTTGTTATTTTGGCCACCTGCTGATTCCTGTAAGACTAGAATCTTCCGAATACCCCTTAACCGGCATACTCGACTCGTATCATAGGTACGGGTTATTCTTCTTTGATGGCGCCATCTGACGATGCCATAACAATCTTGACGTGTTGTTCGTAGAATTGAAGCATCTGCAATCATCTGTTAGCTAGTATGTCTAGAATAATACTTTAATATTGCCAACCAACCTTTTGCGGGCATCGTTTGTAAACGACCTTGGTATCATGTTGGGTTTTGTTTCCGTTCTTCCAGGTAAGGTATACGACTAACTTGCCCCTAACTTCATCATGGCAAGCATCAATAGACTCGACCTCATCTTCCCAGGAACCTACCGGAGGCTTCCAGGCTCGGTTGCTAGCTGGAGGGGTTTCTGAAGCAGGGTGGCTTTCGTTGCGTCGCCGTTTCGTGCCATTAGTCGGGGTACCCGACGCAGGTCGACCGCGCTTTTTCGTCTTTAGTGCCGATTTCCCTTCATCTAAAATCTTGTCTAGTCCGCCGAAGCGACTAAGGTATTCTTCGACGATGTCGGAAGCGTTCTCACTGATTGAAGAATGTTAGGCAATGCGAACCAGTACGTAGACGGGGTCGAGAACAAGCGGCAAGACATCAAGTCGGAAATGATCGTACTAACCTAAGGCTCTCGTAGTTTTCCCAGGTCTGATCCGACTTTTTCTCCCAACCTTCCCATTTGACCTTAAATTTTAATGCGCCCTATACAATTTGTCGGTAAGCTTTTCGACACGAGTATCCACTTGCCACTTACATCGGGTTCAACGACATGAGCGAGGATCTTCTCGACAATATACCTAAATATTAGTCAGCAACAGTTGCTTGCCTTCTCTTTTTAAATCAATTTACGTGGGTGCGCTACGCACTCATCCTCGTCCAAGTTTTCGTCGTCTTCTCCTTGCTCATCGTCACCATCGCCATTCGCGGCTTCGTCTTTTACGACTTTGTTTTTCTCGACATCACGCATCTCGTCATCGTCATCCTCTAGGCTAGCCCGAGCCTTCTTTCCGCGCGTCGTAAGTAGAGGGACTGTAACTTCGCCAACGTCGGAGGCATCGTCGTCGCTAATAGCTACGAGTAAATCGTTAGCTTCAATCGATGCGAAGGATCTCTCAAAATTAATTAGGATTCGAATGGGTAGGGAGGGAGAAACGGCGCTGGTGTATCGCGCTCGCGTAAGTTGAAGTCAACTTCGCGACAAGGTCGTAATAAAATTGGATGACGTACCAGGTGGCATTTTGACCTCGCGCGGAAGGGAGCGTGTATGATGACTAGATTGATTCTCTGGGGGCGGATTAATCAATGGGAACAATAGATACAGAAAACAGAAGAAATAGAGCAATTAGATATGGCAGGATTGCGATGAAGTTATTGCGACAAATCAAAGTCAAGCTGGAGTTATGGTAACTAACTACGGTACGTTATGGGTTTGTAAGTTTGTTAGTTTGTTATTGCAGAGCTTGAATTGGTCTGTGCTTTTGTTTGCTACATATAACATGTATTTCGTATTTCATAAATGATTTAAATATCTACCTAACGGCTGCAAGCAGCTGGCCCGTTATAAGTCTATTACTATCTTGGTTAGACGCATCTGTGGAGTCTGAATTTAGAACTCCTATTGAGCGGAATAAGATATGTACATACGCGGACCTTAGAAGCTACATTAGACCTGCTTCTAGACCCACCATTCCCGGTTCTACCTCAGTAGCGTACCTGTTTTTTTGAAACAGTGCTCACATCCACGCGTACAGTGTCTATAATAATTAAGTGAAGCTGTCAATGTTCAAGGTTGTAGACTACTACATTCTGCAAGGTGAAGGTGACCGATGTTACTTGATAAATATATAAGGAACACGCTATATGAAAATATATAATATATTATATAAGATATGTAGATATATAATATACAATAGTATATATATCAGTAGTGCTTGCTTATCTTGTCATGGACGCGACTAGAAAAAGGTAGGTACCTCGGATAGAAATAATCAAGTCCACGCTAACGCTAACGTACCGCTCTGTACATACCTACAGTACCTACAATACTGTACCTCGTAAGAGAAGTACATGCAATATTCTAAGCTAAGGATAGCCCCTGACCCCCCTGAGCGGAAAATCCCCCAAGAAAAAAAAAAGGGACCAAACATAACATTTCGTTTTCAAAGAAACAAGTACATTTAACTAACACTTACATATATCACTTTTCGCAAGAAATCACTTCAATCCTCTCTTCTCTCATAACAAGTCTCTGACATAAATGACCAAGACATTACAGGACTCTTTGTTGACTCCTAGGATTCCTTTCGGGAGCCTTCTTCCTGGATGAGATCCGGACGGAGGATGCTCCCTCGGGGCAGCTGTTGAAGATAATATATACCTATATCTCTTTTCAGGTTTCTGCTCCTCTACGATCGCCATATTCTCGCATGCTGTTCGTTATCCGAACTAAACTATAATAATATTGTTTATTAAACTATCTTCGTCTAAATTCAACTCGAGCTTCCCTAGCCATGTCCGAGGGAATAATAATCCCTGCTGCCGCCGCCGCCGAATCTCCGGGCGGTGGCAAAGCAAGCGCGGCAAAGGATAGGAGTTGTCCGTATTGTGGTCAGGCGTTCACATCTTCGTCATTGGGAAGGCATCTAGATCTGTATATCAAAGAGAAGAACCCTAAAGCCCCAGATGGTATTCACGATGTTGAAGCTATTAAGAAGATGCGAGGGAGTATCACCCGCAGACAGCCAAGGGGCTCTCTAGCGCGGCGAGACACCTCGACTCCGGGCACCCCGACAACCTCCTCGAGAAAGAGCCCCGCGCCCGACTCTATCGCAAAGCCGAACGCTATACTGAAAGATGGTCATTTTGTTGTAGATCACCAGATGCCCAGATATCCCTTTCAGCCCACCTGGGAGGCTACTGGTGTAATCAATGATATTCCAGCGAGGAGCGGGGAATTAAAGAGCAACCCAGACGATGGAAGCGGCCAGGATTCCAGGCGGCTTCCCATGCAGCGTGCACCGAGTAGAACGGTTCAGAAATCCCAGTTAGATGCAAGGCAGAAGCTTTCGGATGCTATGGACACAGCAAGGGCTGCCGAGCTGGCACTTAGAGAACTGCTTAGTTCGTGGAGGGCTGCCAAGTAAGGATATCTTCTCAACATGTTATTACGTGATACTAACTGGTTACGTCGATTCAGGCAGCAAATAGACATGGACTCTCTTCCGTTCGATTTCGACCCCCTTTCTCTTGACTTCCCCGCTCTCACTCTCCAATGTCTCCAAGCACCTCCTACGCTATTCTCTTCTACGCCGCACCCGACATCGTCTTCTTGGTCTATACAGCCCCCGGCGCAGAAGCAATTCGAAGCGCTTAAGGCATACTTCAAAGAAGAATTTAGGAAATGGAAGGTCGCTTGCGCTACGGCAACTACTTCATCGCATGAGGACTTGACATACCCTCCCTCTAAAGCATCTTTTCCTCGCGATGTGCGTGAGGCTGTGAAGAAGGCGGAAGAGGCAGCGGCCACGCTCGAGGCGCAGGTCTGTGAGCATTTGCAATCGACTTATCACGTCTGGGAGCAACTTCCAGTTCAGAGGAGGACGGAGCTTTGGGGTCTTGAGTTGGCTAGGAGCGTAGGGAGACGACAGAAGGAAGTGGAGAAGTTGAAAGAGACACATTTTTCTATGAGACAAGAAAATGCGAACCTCAAAGCTCAGATCGATCAGCTCAATCGTCTACAACAACCGAGGGAGTTTAGGATAGTTCCTCCAGCAACAATCCCCATCGAAGAATCGCTACTCTCGTATTTGTTAGATCTAGGAAGCAAAGGTTACAGGGGGATCGGTCTTGAGACTGAAGATCGCCATGTGGACCTTGATACCGTAGTTGGCCGTGCCATTGAAAGATGGAAGGCAGTCATTGTATCGTCGCGGGGAGCTGGTATGGCTGGACAGAGGACGCTCGAGCAGACAATTACCACCCCAAATAGCACAACTTCTAATTCTGTGCCTGCTCCTCAAGCCCAAATGGCAACCCACCCCCAACAACCCCAACAGCACCAACACCAGCACCAAGGGTCTATTTCTACAGCATCCAATCCGCAATTGAATGAGCCGCAATCAGCAACAACAGCAGCAGCTATACCAGCTGCTGTAATGGCTCCCGCTACTTCTACCACACCCGGTGTTCACGACGAAAATAGCGACCAAGATGCCGATGCAGAAATGGAGGACGACGAAAATTTTCCATCGCTCACTCCTGTTATCGCAAAACAACCGGCGCAGTCTCATCAGCAGCTCGAAATACCACGGACGAGAAATCTTGACCAACGGGTTCCAGGTACTACTGAAAACCGATTTGCCGTTAACGGGACGATGCCTAATCGAGACCTCAACATACGGCAAACAATGCAAAATCTAAATGCTGGTACCTCGGTGCCAGGGCGTATGCATAGTCAACATGGACATGCGATAATGAGTAATGGCGATTATGGGTCAATTGTTCAAGGCGTTAGCGGCAGCGAACCGATGTATATGGATTAATAGAGGGTTTTCATGGCGATCATGGCGTTCAAAATAGCAATCTAGCGATAGTCATTTTGGGGTAAATCCCTCCGAGACAAATTTATATCTAAGCTTTTACTCTAGCCTGATGTATGGCGATAGAGAGTGGGCGTATACGATTATCTTATATTCTGCTCATTTGTGTTAATAGAGATGGGATCAAAACGTCGGCTCCGTACTACTATCTACCTCATATGTATGTAATGGTTTATTAGGTGCGTTGAAGTCGAGCGTGAAATATGAGTTATAGATTGGATCACTAAAATGATTAAAGGGGGGTGGTATTGATATGTTTCTAGACTCTCACCATCTGCTTAACTGATAAAAATATTTCAGAATGTGCACTATAAGATACCAATTATGCAATTTTTACCTAGGTTAAATTTTGGTCCCTAATAATGTCATATATTGTACAAGAAAGCCCCTAAAGCCCCTGAGGTCAACCGGATATTTTAATGCATCTTTCGGTACTCATTACCACAGTCGCCGAGTCTGTCGAAAAGGGCTGTCATTTTCTCTCTTGACAAGCCTAACGCAATCTTGTTAATAGTAGACATATCGTTGTCATCTAGTTTAAGCCCAAATACTTTCAAGTTTTCATCAACATGGCCCGAGACACCAAGCCTGGTGCCTACAATGACTGCGCCTACCGCCGGTTGCTGCAAGACCCAGCGCGTCGCAACGTTAGTAAGGCTTGCGCCGTACCTAAGAGCTACCTTCGAGAGACGCTCGAGTAAGGCCTGGAAGTCATCCCATGTGCCCCAACTGAGGATCATGTCGAAGTACTATAAGACTAAACGTTAGCTAAATGGTATAGGTAATTATTGAGAAAACGATGGGAGTTACTTACCTTGCGCTGAGAAGGGGTCAAATTATTCGATTCTAGATATACGTCAGGGGCTGGCTGGTGAAGCCATCTCTCCGATAGGAAACCCCCGCACTGTTGGGTCATACAACATATCAATGTACTAGAACAATCATATCGAAGAAGAAAAGAGGAGGAGATGGTTGTCTTACAAATGAGCCATATGTAAGTAATTTCAGTCCGTATTGATCACATACTTGAGTCATCCTCTGCAGCGGGCGCGCATCCACGAGAGAAAACTAGGTACGGGTTGAGTTTAGCAAAAGGGATATAATTTCTGACACTAATTAAATGTGGCTTGCTCACCTGTACTTGGTTTGATACGATCCCGACCGAGCCAGTCTGGGCGATGAGATGTTTGCACGACTCTTCTACATGCTCAGAGTCGAAGTTGCAGAGGCCGATTGATGATACCAATTCGGGGTGGGATTTCGTGATATGGACTAGCTCTAGTAGGATATCGAGGTATGCTTTATCCTCGTACTGTTTAAAATAAGACAACAACTTCTGAGATTGGCTTGGGTAGAGGTGCGTACATCGTACCAATGGAACTGCAGCAGCTCAACCCGGCCCCCTAAACGTCGACACCGTTCACGCGCGGCGTTAAGGACGAACGACGTGGTTACGGGCTTCGGAATTGGCGAAAAGATACACTATGCCCTGGTTAGTTATCTCCAGGTCCTTGAGTGGAAAACCAGCCATACTTACCCATTTGGTTACGGCGTATACCATATCGCGTATTTCAGGCGCGAGCTTGCTCCTGAAATCACCGTATATTAGCTCCGCATCGCCCTAGGTAGTGTCTAAATCAGGAAAAGTCCACCAGGAAGGGGGGTTTGTGATCACTCACGTAATGATCTGCCATATCAGTAGCAGTCAAGCCGCATTCAACAGTATGCAAAAGCGCCGCCTCCTGGCTTTGGGCAGTTCCGGAGCCCCAAGAGGGTGACGACAATTGCCACAGACCGTTTAACAGCCGTGGCATGTAAAAAGGTCCCAGTTGAAATGTTTCTATCACATGTCTCTTAACTGCCGTGCTAGATACGGTGAGTTCTGGTGACTTGGCGGTGTCGACCGCCCGCATGTATTGAGGAAATAGAATTGCTAGGACGTCGTAGAGCTGTCGGGTGGCACGTGTAAAGGGGAATGAAAGAGGAGGATGAAGGCTCTCGCAGTATTGCCTGCAGTTTCCTAGGCCGGCTAGGAGGCCATTGATCAAACCCAAGAGTTTAGGGGTGGGCTCCGGACACGATTCCTTAAGTGCCTGTACTGCTTGGACGACATCCCCGTCGAATTTTGCCAGTAGCATTATAAGCTCGTCGTCTTTAGTCCACTGCAACGCACATGTGAGTCCTCATCATTCGCCTACGGGTCTTAAGAAAGAACCTTAGAAGTATGCTACACATCATCACGAGCCTAAGATCCATGAAAGATGCCCCCGCAGGTTTGTAGAGTAATTGTAATAGGGATAAATGGAATAAATAGTATATATCCATAAAAGGCGACGTACTCTAACTCTTGCCCGTGGAATAGCCTCCACGAAATGTCTTAAGCTATAATTATTAGACATAATTCTATGGCATTACTAAAGGGTAGGTCTTACTAAGGGAACGACTCCTGAGGAAGCTTGCATGAGAAGATACATCTAGTTTGAGCTAGGTAGGTCAAGCAGGCCTCAGAGACAATATCATCTCCAGGAAATAGTCTTTCCGGGTCCTCAAATGGAGGTGGATTCTCATAGAATCTTGCTCGTATGTGTTCGACGAATGGCTGCTGTGTGGTGGCGCCCTGCGAAACGAGAAGGCGGAGAGCAGATCGGAGGGTAGGCGGCGGTACTATGTTTTTAATCAGAATACGGGTGCTATCTAGATACGATGAAATTCATAATTGTTTTATTCACTAACAGTTCGATATTAGACAATCGTCCATCATATTTCTTAAAGCTTGCGTTAGATATAATGTTTCTCATGACGATATCATTAGACTGCTTACACATGGCCCGCCATAGTTCATAAATAGATAGATTTTCTATTGTTACTATCTCTATAGTATGAAGTTAAGAGACACTAGATCAGAAGTTTATAAGCGATAATCCTTAGAAGTACCTATGATTATACAATCTTAAAGTCGGTGTTACGCGTGGAATGCGAAGCATAAGAGAGTAAGGAGATAGGAATGTTTAAATCCTTATAGCAAAATAAGCCAGCGATTTAGACTGGCGCGTAATCAATGACGAAGCTTCTACGTAGGATAAGTCCCGCAGATATTCAAATTCGGGTTGTCCAAACAAGGCAGGTCAAGAATTATATATACCTCGAATATAGCTACTAAGGTAAGCTAGGTACGCTTGATTACACTTAAACCACAAGCGGAAATCAAGGGCGAGATATGCGGAGATCGGGGTTTCTTACCTTTGGGTTCTATGATAAGTTTAAAGGGTAGCAATATTCAGATCCCCCGCTCCTATCATCAACTACCCCTGAATTAGCCGTGAGCAAGGTTCGCTTAATATACCATCATATGTTATATGAGCCCAGTTGTTATACAAAGTTACACACACCTTTATTCGAGAATTAATAGCTCAAGAGTCTACCCAGATAGATTAAAGTAATTGCGGCAATGGAATCACCAATAAAAAAAGTCGACATACAATAAGTCGAATATGCTATAATATTCTGTGAATGAATGTAATCTCCCCTTTATCCCCATCAAAGCTTGGCTAAGATGTCATATACAAATATCTTAGTTCTTCCCTTTATAGTATCGGTCTCAATATTTTGGTGACGTGTAGAAGTCAATCATTATTATCTCAGTAATCGAAAGGCAGAATAGAAAAATTAAAAACACGTTAGTGATAGCAAAATTTCCGCATCTTCAGGCACTATATAGAAAAAATAGGAGAATATGGGATTGGAAGGTTTCGACTATATGTCTAGAATACCTAATCTAATTTAAAGGGAATATACGGAGTACTATTCGTTTCTTATGTTAACCCCTGGGAATGATAGATCCACCACTATACTACCAGATTACATACCCTTAACAAACAAAGGCACCAATTAAATATAATTATAGGAAACACTGGAGTATATTCCTATGCGTAGTATAATGTTAAAAATATAAGGCGTGTTGGTAGCGGGCATACGCCAGGTAGTGAAAACCGAGAAGTAGATAACCGACTAAATTTGGATGATATCAAGAGAATAAATTGTATAAATGACAGAACTAAAGATACCTATGCAGTTTTATATTCATAACATCAATAGCATCATCTTAAAACTCGCTTCTGTTTCTTAGGCAAAATGTCATCCGAGGGAGGTATCTCTTCTCCTGCTCGTCGCTGTCCTGTCCTCATTTGTTTGATCATGTGCCTAAAAAGTCAAGCATGTACTAAACCTGAAGCACAGCCGAATTGTATAACTTTACAAATGTCGTCAACACTTAATAGAAAACTATTAGAATTTAGTGATTCTCCTCACTCAATGTGACTAGTTAAACGGACTGCCTAAAATTGGATCGACGAAGCGCAATCGGCATTGGCCGGCTAAATTCAACTGTTCCTCGGGCCATCATTATACGACCTACCGAAGATGTTCTCTAGCTTCGATGTTGAAATATTTCATATCCATATCTTTAAAGGAGAGTTGTCAAGGTGTCTTTTAATCTTCTAGACTTATCTCATTATTTAACTATCTAGAAAAACTGTCCACTATGCCCTTAGTTCGCAATCCCATCTTGCCCGGCTTCAATGCCGACCCGTCAATACTACGGGTCGGCAGTGACTATTACATCGCTACATCTACCTTTGAATGGTACCCTGGAGTACAGATCCATCACTCTAAAGATCTCGCAAACTGGGAGCTAGTCACGCGACCCCTGAACCGCAAGTCTCAATTAGATATGCGTGGTGATCCTGATAGTTGCGGCGTATGGGCGCCCTGCCTTACACATGATGGCGACAAATTCTGGCTTGTATATACAGATGTGAAGCGTAAAGATGGTTCCTTCAAAGACACACCTAACTATATTGTCAGCGCTTCATCGATAGAGGGGCCTTGGTCTGATCCCGTTTACATCAACTCTTCCGGGTTTGACCCTTCTCTCTTTCACGATGACGATGGTAAGAAGTGGTTTGTAAATATGCTACAGGACCATCGGCGTCGACCCCGTTCTTTCGCGGGGATCGTCCTGCAAGAGTTTGATCCTGAGGCTGGCAAGTTAGTTGGCCCGAAGAAAAATATTTTCCGTGGAACGGAGCTGGACCTTGTCGAAGGACCACACCTCTACAAGAGAAATGGATGGTATTACCTCTTGACGGCCGAGGGTGGGACGGCATATCACCACGCATGCACGCTGGCACGTTCCCGCGATATATGGGGTCCATACGACGTGCATCCACAGAAGCATATTCTCACCTCCAAGGATGCCCCGCTTGCCGCTCTGCAGAGAGCCGGTCATGGTGATATTGTAGATACACCCGAGGGGCGGACATATCTCGTACACTTGACAGGTCGACCAATAACCCAGGAGCGTCGCTGTGTCCTCGGTCGCGAAACTGCTATTCAAGAAGCCTTTTGGAAAGATGACTGGTTATTCGTGAAGAATGGTCCTGTTCCTTCGCTCTACGTTGATGTCCCTGGAGTGCGTGATGACACCCAATACTGGGCAGAGCAAAGATATACCTTCGAGAACGGATTACACAAGGACTTTCAGTGGCTGAGGACACCTGAAACAGAACGCATTTTTGCTACTCAGGATGGAAAGCTTGTATTATTCGGCCGGGAGGCTATTGGGTCGTGGTTCGAACAGGCATTGGTTGCAAGACGACAGACTCACTTCTCTTATGACGCCGAAACAACGATCGACTTCTCACCAACCGACGAGAGACAATTTGCAGGACTTACTGCATACTACTGCCGCTTCAATTTTTTCTATCTTACCGTGACGGCCCATTCCGACGGCCAAAGAGAACTACTCATTTTGACATCGGAGGGCTCTTGGCCCGACGGCAAACTTACCACACCCCTTGCAGACCCTGTGCAGATCCCTAATGAGGGAAAAGTAAGATTAGCATTAACGATTCGCGGTCGCGAACTGCAATTCTTTTACGCGTTACACGGCGATGAGCTGAAGAAAATTGGACCGGTTTATGACGCGTCTATTCTTTCTGACGAATGTGGTGGACATCAGGCCCACGGGAGCTTCACAGGGGCGTTTGTGGGAGTGGCGTGTTCCGATGTAAACGGGACCGCGTTACCGGCTACTTTTGATTATTTCACGTATTGTCCAGTCAAATATGAGACTGACAGATATGACGTTTGACAGATTTATCATATCATTGTTCAGACTAGGGGAATACATTTGATGGAGATCAATGTACGGGTGCTGTCGCTTGAAATAACCTCCTAAGCTATGGCAATCTTGCCTGTCTTAGGATAAACTTTAGGCAGGCAATATCTTGTGAATAACTCACGTCCTTACGTTTGATATAAGCGAGTCTAACAAATCATATACTTGAATATATGTGGCTTGCTAGATTATGAATTATTAGTGAGTCATGGTCCTCTCCTAGGGGTCTAGGTCTTGGTGGTGCATCGTGTATGTGGGTTTAAGCCTTTGCTGCCTAGGCACGGACTGTCATAGAAGAGTATATAGATACGTCCCATCGGGAACAACAAGCGAAATACTTACCATTCACCTTATACTTTACAATCCATATAATTAGGTACTTCACTCATACACATACATTAATGATCTCGTAAGCCATGGATTTTAGAAGCGACAATCACGGACCTCGCTGGGCGCCTGGAAAATATGTTGGCAACGAAGACACGAGAAGACTTTTGCAAGAGCTTCGTGAGTCAATGACGATGAGTCGTGAGAATTTCGTCTTTGCCTGTGGCGGATCCGTTCCTATTGGCTGTCAAGTTGATAATTCACAGCAGCCGGCGGAAACGACCACTACGCAGTCCTCGACCCAAGAAGATAAAACTACCACCACGTCGAGCCTATCATCACCTATTCCACCCAGCCATATGACTCTTCGATGGGATTCTCCTAACCAATCGACGCTCGGGTTGCACTGCAAGCTTGACTTTCCGATTGAACCATCTACATCAGGAAACTTGGCTCAGTTGGTAGCCGATATGAGCCCTGCTACATTCGGTCTTGGTGGGAAAGATGTTTACGATGAAAGTTATCGCAAGGCTTTAAAACTTGACCCATCTCATTTCGCCTTGAACTTCTCTCCTTATGATTGTGGCATCATCGATTCAGTTGCACAGATCTTGCTTCCAGATTGGAAAATGGACAGTAATAATCATAGAGGCGTTAGGGCAGAGTTGTATAAGTTGAACGTGAGTATTTTATGATTCGTATCTTGTATCTAGGTATATACTAATCAAGTGATAGATCTATACTGGTCCATCTGGTCACTTTCGTGCACATGTCGATACACCACGCTCTGAGTCTCAATTTGGATCACTCGTCGTTTGTCTACCGGTTGCTCATGAGGGTGGCCAACTTGAAGTCCGACACAATGGCAAGACTATATCATTTGACTGGTCCCAGCTTGACATTAATTGTCCATCTATTCAATGGGCTGCATTTTACAGTGATTGCGAACATGAAGTTTTCCAGGTTCGATCTGGGCACCGAATTACGCTGACGTATAACCTTTATGCCACGCGTGGGAGTGGTCAACTGACTAGCCATCCTAAGCCCCTAGATTTGATTAAGGTGCCTCTATACACTCATATGCATGCCATCATTGGCCAAGAGAAATTCATGCCCAAAGGTAAAACCCATATTTAGCATCAATTTGAAATGAGAACTAAATAAAGCAATCTCAATTTAGGTGGATATCTAGGCTTCTATACAACACACAGTTATCCTCATACTACTAGACACTTCTGTGAGCCAGATACGCTCAAAGGTCTCGACATGGCTATATGGGAGTGTTTTCAGGCCCTTGGATGCTCCGTGTACCTACGCCCAGTTGCTCAAGAATATTCTGAACGTGACCAAGTGGGTTTTAACCAGCGGGAAGAGGTATGGGTTGGCGGATCGTTGCGTACCGGCGAAACCGCCAATTTTTTAAGCTACGATGAGATGAGTGATGACGCGGAGGTCTTATTAAAAGGGTGGTCTAAATTAGGCGATGGCCCAATATTTCGCTATTCAGACATCGCCTGGTTGAACGACCCAGGAGAAAGTGAATTCCAGTTCGCCTACCTCGTGGTAAGTAGCAGAGCCTAAATTACTTATCTGTGGCAACAATTTACTAATTGCGAGTATCGAAAGTATGGTAACGAAGCATCGATAAACGTGCTATATTCGGTCTGTGCTATCGTAGTCGAGGTGCCGCCTTATGAGAAAAGGGTTGAGGCTAAGGCTTAGATTTCTCTTCTTCAACCTACTCATGATTTATTCACTCCAAAGAATCAGATACGATAGTGGCATGTTTACTCACTCGCTCGTCATATTGGGAGTCTGGGGGATACTGAGTAACAAATTGAAATACTTAAGTCTTACTGTGGTGTGGAATGGAGGTATGGTATCTGGCCGTGGCCGTATGAGAACGTGGACAAGAAGTGAGAACACAACGTGGCTGGAGCACGGAGAGTTGTGAACCTAGCTAAGACTTGAACACCAGTACAACTGGAAGCTCTTTAGCCTGTAGTTCTTAGTAGTTCGGATACCTCCCTAAAGGTAACAATATATGCGGAACAATATTCACCTACGAAATACGCAGAAATCTAGATGGAAGCATTTAAAATTATTTTTACACCGGTACTTCACTATCCATTGTATGCATAGCTTTTGTTTTGCCAAACCTGATGGCGCCCTAACTACCTAACATAGGGGGAAGGCAAACTTGTCTGCCAATTTATTGTGACTAGGTACCTAGCCCTATACATTTAAGGAACGTGAAGTGGGAAAATTATGATCGTAGACTTACGAAAACCTATGGGAACTAAGCCCACGGCGACATATACAACAGCCTAGGATTACCTTAAACCATACAAAGAAACAAGATACCTGAGCTCTACTAGGTAGCATGACGAACAATAATGCTTTCATAGCATTTGAAGTTCTGGGAAAGTTCTACGGAAACCTTTGTTTGACTTCGATCCAATACGGTAGTCAGCCCAGGAATGCTCTAGCAGATGTAATTAGGCATTCAAGCCAACACGACTAAGTCTCAAAACCCATCAGATGTAAGCTTTAAACAAACAAAAGTGCTCTTATAGGTATTAAATATAAATATCGTAATGACCCGCATGCTAAAAATATATCCATCTACTTACCTACCTAGATACACATGCTTAGAACTAACACAACGTGCAAAATATGACGCCGTGGGACGAGAAGAAAAGATTTCACAATAAACATACCCATGCAATAATACATATGGATGAGACCCAGGATTGCTCAATAGACATAAGTTCGGCTGCGACAAATACTTCCAGTCATAAGTTTGAGAAGACGTTAAGCCCAAAAGTAGGGCCAGCCATTAAAGCGAACGAGCCTAAAGAAAGAGCGAAAATCACAAGCATGGAGATAACACCTTCTGTAGACAATGTGTCCACGGATTTACCTGGGGTTTCGGAACAGGGCGAAGTGAGAAATTCAGTTACTTGTCCTGATGAAGGCAGTGTTTGTTTTAATCTTACAGCCACGAGAGGCCCAATGGATCTTGAAATACCTCTAACAGAAGTCTCGAAACAACTCGAACCTTTTGCTATTCACGGCCTATCAAAACGGGACCGGGAAGAACTGGAAGGTAAATGAGCTCTACAAAGATATAAGAACCGAAATACGCAATTACTTACCAATCTATAGCTTCTCGGGAGCGAGTGCCACGATTTCTCTTTCGATGTTTCGGTCCAAAGTCTGGGGGCCACCCTGATCTGAATACTATAGATGGGATTATCCCACGGGGTTTTCTTGATGGCAGTGAACCAACCGACATATACGAGACTGATGATCTCAGGACAATGATCATCAACCACCTAGAAGGATCAAATACCAGGACTAAATTCAGCTCGTGGTCAAGCTGTATAACCTACGCCAGTATGTCATCCATAGAGCACCTAACGCAGCCCCTTTATAAAAAATATACGCGATACAAATTTCCTCGTCCAACCATCCTTCGATTTCTGATTCTAGGCGCTTTTACTACTATGTCATTAACATTAATAAAACATATAATACATATTAACATTAGTTACTGCAGTGAAACACGCCTCTGATAAAAGTTATATCGCGATCATCGATAGAGCATTACTAGCTCCATATGTCAAGGTCTACCACGTTCCAGATCTATGTAAAGCCGGCCTTTGTGGCGTTGCACGCGTACAGGATTATATAAAAGACCGTGACCGTGAATACTTGGCATACGGACCAATATATGGTCCCGGATTTCACTATCTACAATATGACGTCTTTCGGAAGAAATACGAGAGGCTTTTCCTCAGTCGAATATACAACGAAGGCCCGAGTAGAACAGTCGTCACAGCAAGAGAATTAGCCGGGCTTTTTCGCCATTCTCATGACTACCGGCCTGATATATTCATAGCGCTCACGATAATTTTTTCGTGCTTGCAATTTTTCGGTGTTACAAATAAACTAGCAAATGAACTGAAGATGGACTTTCTTGATACCCTCATCTTATACCTTCGCCGCGAACTTAAGATTTTCGATTTGCCACCAGTTGGTAATAATCAGCTCGCCCTCATCAACCCCGAGATGTATGTAGGGCCCTACCGGAATCTACAGGAAACAGTCTATTCATGGAAATACATTGAAGAAAAAATCTGGTCAGGCGAGATAGCTGTGGGCGAAGGGGATTTTTTCAGATAACACCTCACTATCATAGCCTACAAGTTACATAGACGAATTAATATATTGGGCAAAGAATCCTTAGCCTAATTTGATGTATAAGTTTTGGGGTGTATAAAGTGACAATGGATAGAATAAACCAACTCCCGAAGCATCACAGTCTGTTTTCTTTGCTTCAAGTATCCCCCAATCTCCACATAGTTCTAACTACAGTTGAATAATGATCGACTCCGTAGGATCGTACAATACAAACTGTAGATAATTTAAAGAATAAGAAACCTTCTATAACCATTGTTAACATCGTATATAGGGGAGGTCGTTAACCTTTAAGGATTAACAATGCCTTCTCCAGGTCCTGCTTCAAATCCACATCCCAGATCCAACTCATGCGCGATTTGAAGTTTCTTTCAATGGCCTCAAGATCGTCACCTTCGAGTTCGAACTCGTATAGCATGCCGGCCTCCCTGCTAGTCTTTACCAACTTAAGGGTTCTCGGTCGCCTTACCTCATCGTATGCTTGAAATGCCTTGTCAAGATCTTGGGTGCTTTTTGCTGCTCCTATGAGATGGCTCAGGATATAGCAGTCTTCAATGCACATACCGGCACCTGCGCCCTGGTGAGGCGTCGTACCGTGCGCAGCATCGCCGAGGAGACATATTCGAGGGCTTAACCCGTAGTAAGTCTCTGCAGGTGGATCATTAAAGAGAGCCCAGACGTCTCTTTTCTCCATAGCGTTGACAATGGATATCACCGCAGTGCCCCATGTACTATAATCGTCCAGCATTTTCTCCTTCGATGCTTTTACCACCCACTGTGGATCGGTCCATGTGTCGCAAGAGCTGAAGGCCACGACTGTGATACAACAATTAGCTTTAAGTAGGGGAGATATTTTTCTTAGAATACCAACCATTCATAGTCTTACCCTTCTCGATTGGGAAGGTAAGCAGGTGGCGATGATATCCCATCCATATCTGGGGGTTTTCGGCTATTTCAGCGCCTAGTAACTCTACGGCTCGTTCCATAGGTATCAACCCCCTATATGCGTATTTCCCGGAGAATACGGCTTTCGACTGTTCGCCCAGGAGTATCTCCCTAGTCTTAGATTTTATTCCATCGCAACCTACCACAGCACTATGCTGCGCCGTAGTCCCGTCTGCGAAGTGCAACACGGCATCCTGTGATCCGTCTGTAGCACTGCTGATGTTAACTAGCTTCTTGCCGAACTTCGACACGGAGTCTGGTATCAACGTTAGAAGGTCATCTAGGAAATGTGCTCGATGCACACCGCCGGCAAGTCTATCGTCAGAGTGCTCAATGTTGAAAATTGGGTCTCCAACTCTCAACCCCTCCTTTTCCTTCTGCTTCAGCACTCCATCTGGGCCTGCCTTTCTCTGATCGCCAACCCTGACCGTGAACCAGTCCTTTCGCTTGCTCTCCCAACCAAGAGTAACACGTCGCTCAAGTCCTTCGAACAGCTTGGGGGAGATAAGTTCAACGGCAGTGACAGCATTTGGCCCGAACCCTAAGCCGGCGCCAATCTCGGTAAATTTCGAGGCAGATTCGTAAACTGTGAAGGGCACATTTTGCTGAAGGAGGCCAACTGCGAGTGTAAGTCCGCTTATGCCGCCCCCGACTATAGCAATATCGAATGGCTTTGCGGTAGTCATGGTATAATTATAATCGACGGTTAGAGATGTTGGAGTGTGTAGCTGTGTGGGGCTTCAAGACATAAAAACACGACTCTCCGAGTAGCAGCCAGGGTTCTTATAACACAACGAAACAGTAGCATTGGGGAAATATTATTACGATGCCATTAATATGCCTCTATTCACTACCGGTGACGAATACACAGGGGGCGTGGATTCGGTGTATCGGAGGCGCGATAGGGGTATGGTGATATCTTTAGGTGAGCTTTACCGTAGACCTGTGGATGTGCGGCCGATTAATCCCGTGTTGGTTGCAACCCCAGTTGTCGTCGTATCGTGAAGAATAGTATCTTCCAATTAATAGAGCGTTTACAGCGATAAAATGAGCAGTCTTTTGCCATTTACCTTGGAAGTTGAATATTTCCGAAGCTAAATCTTTATAAAATCTTTGTAAAATCGGGCTTCGTCACCACTAAAGATCCCAACGGGCGCCTGCATACTGCATATTGTTATCGCCTAATCATCAACAAGGAGTTATCTCTTCTCCGAATTCTGTCGGGATTCGGATTACCCGGCCTAAACCTATCTTCCGTGTTGCTATACTTGTCTCGGTCTCGGCAAAGGATCACGGCTCCGATGACTATAAACTCAGCATTATGTTATGATTATGTTATGATCATGTCAGGGTATAAGAAATACACCGAGTGGCCATTTACGGGGACGATTACTGAGCGCAAAAGTATCGAACAGCTATTTCCGTCGTTGGCGAAGTTAAGGAGGCGTCACTCGTGATGTCTTAGATGTGGTAAGCAGTCATTTCACTACTAGATAATATATAATTGGTCTTGCGCTTATTAAGGTAACGGAGAAATGTTTATTGATATTATTCTACCTTATCTAGTCTATTCCTTAATGCAGCATTCTCAATGCTCGTCACATTTCCGGCGGCGTTAATGTTGAAGATAAACTGGTCTAACGGTTTAGAGCCGTACATGATCCCTGCGACGCTGACCCAAGTCGAGCAGTCTGTCGTAAAAGGTTTCGAAACGTTGGGCAAGCTGAGGTCCTCAAATATTGCCTTGAACGCAACTCTTTTCCCCCCGTCAGATGTCTCATCCCACAACCCAGTTGGATAAAGACGAGCGCTTGGCCGAATTTCGTTCCAATATTCCTTAGTCACGTTTCGGCTCATAGCTACAGAATACCATAGCAAATTCGTTCCATTGCTAATCCACGAACTTAGACTCAGACCGGGAGTTTTATTGTCAACTACGATGCTCAAAGATGAGTTCACCGTAGAACTAGGGTTCTTATATGTTCCACCATAGAGGGCACTCGCCTGGATGCGTGCCGTGTTTACCATGGTTGGGAGGTAAGTATTCGACAACGTGTCTGCTATATCCATAGGTAAACTAGCGGGAACATCGCCAGCGGCCAAGATGGAGAATCCGATATTGAAGTCTGGGATGATAGCTAGCAAGGTACTATACCTCCCTAGACTTCCGGCTTTATTGAAGGTGGTTGCGAATTGGTAAGGAGAATCTGCGATCATAAGATCAATATATCAGTTAATTACCTATTCAGGGTTTATTTGCGTACCTTTAGAAAATTGAAGTTGACGTACGCCCCACGGTGCACCTACGCTAGATCTTGGGTCTGAGCTAAAGCTCATGGGCTTGAGCCATCTTCTTGTCATAGAAGGCGGTAGAAGAGTAGATCTTAATATAGCCCTGCCGACTCGGGATAAATCCGAGGAAGATGTATACATATTTCCAGTACTTCTCACTAGTAAGTTACTTAAGAACTCGCAACAAGTAGGGGTTTCAGTATCGTACTTACGGCGACTCATTGCCCATATAGAAAGCCCAGTTCGTTTGGTAACGACCACCTGGTATAATCCCGAGGGAGTCTGCGGGGGTTGTGTAGAAAGTACGATTCAAACCAAGGGGTTTGATAACCCTGTCTTGTACTATCTTGCCGAACCATTTCCCTGTCATCTGTTCTAGGGCGTATCCAAGGAGGGTATAGCCGATGTCTGAGTATGCTGGCGTAACGAATGGCGAAAATGATGGGGGAAGTTTACTAAGACCTTCGAAGAATTCTAACAGAATAGTTAGTTCAAGATAAACCAGTATTGATCATGCGTGAGCCGTTAGGAGCAAACATACGCGTTCTATTGCATACTGGCCTGTTGCCACAAGGAGGTATTTCTGCATTTTCTAAGACGGGGAATCCAATTGAAGCTGCCCGCGTGGTGCTTGAACCTTGTGTGAGTTCACCTAATAAAGCGTCTAAAATACCAGTTGTATAAGACCGTTTTCAATCAATTTTGTGAGAACGGGTAATAGCTTACAGTCTCTAACAAGGCCTGACATTTGGTTAGCCAACGACCCAATTGTGATGGAGTCCCAGTCTGGTTTTGAAATGGAATGGGAAGTGTCGGCGTCAGTGACCATCGCTTTTATTTCCGGAATATATTTAGTGATAGGCTCATTCCACATAGTATCGCCTACTTCAGCGAGGAACGTTAAGATAGTAAATATCTTTGTAACACTTCCAAGTCTGTACACGGTATTACCATCTACCTTTTTGACTCCTGTCGAGTTAAGAGTTTTTAAGTTAGTAGCAGTCCAGTGATGCGACCACAACGGCTCATCTATATCAGCGGAAAACACTTCAACTGAATAGGAGAACTGATCTGATTTCGTCTTGTTAGAATTGTCGATGTATTGTGCAAAAGCCGAGTCGAGAGACTTTGCCGCCTTCTGAATCCCCGGTTGGGCAAGAAGGTCGGTAGGATTTGGATATCCTAAGCCATATAGAGGGCAATTCTCTTTAGCATAGACGCTGAGTATAGCGAATAATGCTATGACTCCAAGTGATCGCATTTCAAACATATCTACCTACGTTAGAGGCAAGTAAAAATGGGAGTTAGTATATCAGTGACGCATCAATAATTCGCTGGACTAAATAATAAAAAATTAAGAGGAACAGTCTTGAATTATAATTATATTAGGTGATTATCGTCCTTTTTACGCACACAGGAACTACAAGCAGTCACTTTACATTTTACCCCCGCGCCGAACAGTACTATCAGATGCGAACCGTGAACCGGGTAATTAACCGCCAAGCGAATGGTGGGATCTTGCTGGTGTCCCATTGCGTATAGAAGCCGACATTGATAGGAACTTGATCGGATTCCCTCCGCGGTGCTAATAGGGGTAGTTAAGTTTTATTCATATATCTAAGGCACAAATCGGAGTCTTGTCCAATTAGAGATGCTTTTAGAAAAGTATCAGAAATGGATTTAGGATCTACGGAAGGATCTAGATCGATAGATCTCCATATTCTGAAGTTCTTATAGGTATCCCGGTATTGTGGTAAGCTTCACGGTTCTAGACCGGGGAACTGGAGAACACGTTTGCTTGAAAATAATTACGTCTGCAATTTTAATGGCCGCGCGCTCCATCGTCGATAATTGGTTACACGGGCACCTATGTAATATATCTGTTAATGGTATGGTAGACATCTGGGCCGTGTATCCATATAGGGAACTCGAGAAGTTGAGCCAGGATGTATATTAAAGGTCTAGATTCATTCTTTATTATGGAAGACGGGTTAAAGGCTTATCTGACAGGTATCTGATTAACTTGAGATTGCGTGATAAATGGGGACGGACCGGGGATCCCCCATGACGTATTATTCTAATAATTTGGGGTTTGGAGGAGATGCTGATTAATTATTAATCGTAAATTGTAAATTGTTAATTGTTAATTGTAACTAAAGAAACTCATGGACGACGACGATAATAATAATAGGAATACGGCGTCTGAAGGTCGCAAACGCCCACGATCACGAAACGATGATGCGCCCTCTTCAGCTTGTGATCAATGTCGATATCGTAAGATCAAGTGCGATAGGCTTCAACCAGAGTGTTCTAGCTGTCATAAAACCGGCATCGTTTGTACATCATCCGGCACCGTTAAGCGTGTAAATCAAACCAAGCAGCTGCAAGTGTTTCTCGTCTTAAGCTTTAGTATTTATCACAAATTAACATAGTATCTTCCTCTTGTAGTCGCGATGATTTTACTACCGTCCTAGAGCGTCTTGACGGAGTTGATCAGACCTTAAGCGCCCTCACTAAAATCACCGAACAACTTGCCGCTCGAACATTCACATCCAACTCGAATTCCTCTCCTCCTACTTCATCTTTACCTCAACCAACACAGACCTCGAGTAATGATGAAGGTAGTGCCATTTTACCAAGCGCGCAGAGAGATCGACCTGGACAGGTGGCCGAGGATGGATGTCGACATGAAACTATAAGTTTAGGCCAAGGGAGCGAACGGATTTATAGCTATCCTGCGGCTATTCCTTTACTTGTATCGTTATCGAAGCAATTAGCTCAAGTTCTCGTCGAGCACGGTGGTGAACAAGACGGCAGTGTAGACGCGATTGTTAAGGACCCAGCGTTGCGAATTGCTCTTCGACGACAGCTTCAAAACTTCCCCTTCCCACAATGTCAGCAACCCGTCGTAGCGAGCGACCACAAGCCTATCACCGCTCCACCACGCTTTTTGGTTGACTTGTTTGTTAATAACTTCTTGCGCAATATCAACATCCGCTTTCCAATATTCGAAGAGGCAGTACTTTATCGTGCTATCGATATGTATTATTCGGGCGAGTCGTCAGGCGATACTAACGCTTGGACATCCATATTCAACAATATCGTTTTACTTGGTTTGGGCCTCGAGGTGCAGGTAGCGGAAGCTACCCAGTCTAATACAAGGAATATGAACAATGACCTACTTCCTTCTTTCTTACAGAACTGCGACCGTGCTATAGCTGATCTCGACTCTTTCACATGTCCATCTATAATTAATGTTCAAGCGCTCATAATGTTGGTATGTTACAACAACTCTCCCATATTTCTCTATTCGTACTTGAAAACGGACCTCTAACATGTTGCCGCGGCGTCTCCTATTAAGGCCCTCACATCTAAGCAGTTCTATGGTAATATAATGTTTGAACGTATATGCCAAACGGCCTGTCAGGTCGGCCTTACTCTTGGGCTCCACCGGTCTAGAACTGGTGAGGACGGCGCCGGTCACGGACAAACAGAGTGGGAACGGCTATTCAGAGTTCTCTATGCTCTAGACAAACTGCGTGCTTTCATGTCAGGCCAAACTTGCGACATTCATTTATTTGATTCGGACTTAACTTTAAGCTCTGTCAATCACAATGAGCTGCCAGGTCGGCGACTCAATAACGCTTTCGACCACATGATGGAGATCTGGGAAGAAGTATACCTCTCCCTCTATTCCTCGAGGGCAAATACGGCAGGAGAGGCATATCGTGTTCGACAGGCGCGTCGCATGACTCAGCTTGTAGATGAATGGAACCAGAAAAACCACGAATTAATAACTGCCACATTCCAGGGAGATACATCAGGGCTAACTAACACACAACTTGAACTAAAATATTGTTATCATATAACTCAGGTCCTTTGCCTTCGCCATGATCGCCAAGATGAGCTTGCTCAGAAGCAAATGCGCGATCATGCCCGCATCTGCCTCAAACTTGTTTCCGAAGCTGGTTCCCCGTCACTCACTACGACAAGTTTAGCTTTACTAGACCGAATACTCGGCAACTATCCCGTAGTAGCATTCATAGAGCTAGTCGCATTTTACTTCAACACCTTAGCTAAAGGTGAAGTCCCAACACTAGAACTCGAAACTGATTTAAAAATCCTATGGGCTATTTGTCGGTATCTTCAGGCTTTGCACAATCCTAGCTTCCAGGCGACATATTACCCCCGTCTACGAGATGGCTTGGCATGGGCTCTAGAAAATATCGAAATAATGAAAAATAAGCCAGGAGATCAATCACAGGGACCTCAAGACTATATAGATATTAGTCCCCTCGATTTACGCTGCCCGCATTTTTTAATACCAGCCACTACCTCAGGTCCGGGAGGAGATCCAACTTCAACTAGTTCCTCAGCCAATAGAACAGGAGAGAATCTAAATACACCCTTAATACAACTTCCCGAGGATGGTAGAATGGATTTAGAGCAGTCTACGATAGATCTCTCAAGCTTCGACTTTTGTACAACTGTACCTCCGTCAACCTCTTTAGATGGACCAGGCCTACAATCTTATTCTACATCCAGTCACTCGGAATATAACCTAACATCAGATCTATTTCAATTATTTACGACAGAAAAATGAGTTGGGGGTGGTTCATTTAAGTGCACCTTTTCTACACCAGTGTTGTTTATACATCTCGACTGGTTTGCCCGGCTCGACTGTACGTATAATGCCTATCGAATCGCATACTTGGCTAATCTTTTTTTAATTTACATTGGCAAATTTTAAGAGAGTTAGAAGGTCAGTTATGGACCATGATTGAATCCGTCATCCGACACAACATTACGAGCTTAAAACTAATTTACATATAATGGCGTAGTTATCTAGCATCCTCTTTTGATTCGCTTGACATGACAATCGACAACTACAAGTAATATATGGTCTTAAGTAATATTCGCTTTATTTTCGCTTCATCTAGATCGTCTTGTGCGAATAGCCAATATCCTTATTATACGTCAAATCCAAAGGAGTGAAAGGTCTATTTTACTCACTAAAATTTGGGTTAGCAATAGCATCGACGTTTGGCCCGTACGGTGTTTGATCAGAGCTGACATGCTTGGCGTCTAGGCTACCCTTTTTCTTACTTGTATGCTCTCCACTATTTCAATTTCAAGATATCCAGCCCCAAATAACAACGGGCTGAGGCAACCCAACGTGCTGAACCAGGGTACAATTTCATGCCCCTTGTCGGTATGCCGACATAACCTCGCGTTGCGTAGCGAGGTCGCGGTAGAGTAAATTAAAAGACCAAACCGTCGTGAGAAGATGAGGTGCCCTTGGTATTACTTCTAATAATACGAATTATCGGCCAATTGCTTGGCCTTTTAATCTCTATAACCTCCGTAACCCACAAATCAACGTTATCTCTTGCGTGAGCATCGCCTACCTTGGTACCTATCCAATTGGCCAGAGACTCGAGCTCCTTCGCCCACAATGGGCCACCCTGAAGCCAACACCAATCCAGGGGTCGAGATCTCTACTCCCGTCATCCCAAGAGAACCAGACTTGGAGCGAAACTCAGAAAAGATCGAAAACGTAGAAATAGTGACGGAGGTCGGTGAGCACAATGGAGTGGAAAATACTGAACCAACATTGAAAAAGTCGCTTTCCTTTAAACTAGCCTTCATAGGGCTTGCGGCAATCCTTTTTGTTTTTCAGCTAGATGCGACCTGTCTGGGCATTGCCCTTCCAGTGAGCCATGACGCCCCTCCTAATCTGTATGCCGCTTAGGTTAAATATTAATACTCATTGTTAGACTGTAGCTGGTGAGTTAAAGGGCTCGAGTTTGCAATCATTCTGGGCGAACCTGGCTTACACCTTATGTGGTCTGGTCATGCAACCGGTTTGGGCCGGTATATCTGACGCGTTCGGTCGAAAGCCGCCTCTCTACGTGTGCATGGCATTATTCCTTATCGGTTCCATCATTTTTGCCCTTGCGCAAAATATGAACACCGTCATTGCCGCACGGGTCCTCCAGGGCTTCGGCGGCGGGGGAATTGACGTTTTAACCCAGGTGATTCTCGCCGATATGACGACGTTAGAGGAACGTTCGAAATATCTCGGCTTGATGGCCATTCCTTCAGCCGTTGGAAACATTATGGGACCTAGCGTTGGTGGCCTTTTTACTACGTATGCTACTTGGAGATGGATTGGATGGATCAATCTGCCGTTCCTAGGAGTAGGGACGCCTTTAGTGTTCTTCTTCCTTAAACTTCGGCCCGTCCCGCTCGATGCAACGCTTGCCAAGAACTTAAGGCGCATTGACTGGATCGGTATAACGCTTGTCATTATTGGAATCACGATTTTTGTTATACCAATCAGTTGGGCGGGTTCTTTATTTCCATGGGCTTCCTGGCAGACCCTCCTCCCAATGCTCTTAGGGGTCGCGGTGCTCGTCGCTTTTGCCTTCTATGAGGCGAAGCCCGCGGCACCCATTGTTCCTCATCGACTCTTCCACTCAAAGACCGGGAATATGGCACTGCTAGGGGGCTTCATCCATGGAATGGTTCTGGTCTCCTTATTACAGTACTTACCCTTACTTTACCAATCCGTAGAGCTCGAAACCGCAATCTCAGCTGCAGTCTCACTATTGCCTACGTCTATTATCAGCGTAGTGTTCGCAGTCGTCGCAATGATGATGGTCCCATTATTCGGAGGATATGTATGGCTTCTACGGCTTTCATGGGTCATCCTTACACTAGGAACTGGCTTGCTGGCCCTCTTCGATGTTGGGTCCTCATCATCCATGTGTTACGGGCTTCCTATTCTTTGGGGGCAAGGCGTTGCGCTACTACGTCTCAATATCCTTCCTATGCAAGCGAGCGTGAAGAATGTTGACGATACAGGCGTAGCTATTGGGTCATTCCTCTCTATTCGCATGTTTGGAGGTCTTATTGGACTTACTATTTCCTCGACAATCTTCAGCAATGTTTTCTCGATGTCCATCTTTAACAGCGCAATCCAGTTAACGGGAGGGTTAGCACCTCTTAAAGACGCCTCAAATGCAGTGAACTTCATTGAAAACTTGAGATCACTAGATATTTCTCTTACAACACTGAATCAGGTCTTGGGGGTCTATCTGAACTGCTTCCGGACAATATTTTATACGATGACCGGTCTGAGTGCATTGGGTTTGATAACTTCGATGTTTCTAGATGAGATTGATCTTAAAGGGCGAGATCTTGGGAACCAGCGTTTTGAGGAATAGAGAAAGACGGGGAAAGGGACTCCCCTCGTATCAATAATATTTAATTCTAATACAATAATAGATATGAAGAATCCACCTTCTGTAACCAAACTGGTCCACCTGCTTAAAATCTTATCTCAGCTTTATGCATATTGTACTAAAAATGAAGCTAATTGTATCTCATTACTAAGGTATCGCACATCGTATCGTCGATCCTATCATTTTCATAATAGATCTCCTCACCGTCAAAATTGACAATGTTAATTCATTTTCGGATGTTCCTAATTCTTATCATTTATGGGTTATCACAGTGATAGATCATAGATTAACCTACAGGCTGCAGGAACCATCACATACTAATTCATGAGGAAGTGGATCTCAGCCGCCACGAAGGATGATCTACTTCTCACAGAGATTCGTGCCGAGGATAAAAGTGGATATGCATCATACGACACAGTTCATAGAGTGAGCCAAGCATACCTTGTATTGAGGCTTCACATCAACTTCGTAACCAAAGTGCATGAACCCAAACTCTACAACGAACGGGCTTTGAATCTGACGGTCCGGGAGACACGATCCATGCATGTCGCGCCAAGTACGAAGAGTCAAGAAGCACTGATTACTTGTAGGTACCTATTCCTGTTCCTATCCTTATCCTAATTCGTAACATATATTGCTGCCCGAGGTATTCCATCATAAATCCCGTGTACCTAAGATACCCAATTAAGGTAACAAAACACACCATACGCCATGTACTTGAACGCTATGCTATTCCAAACTCATCCTCTAAACTTTCAGCATTATATGCATAGTATATACTCCCTACTCCAGAGTTGCTTGGTGAATTATATTGCCCCTAATACTTAGGTAGCGATTTTATTGTACCGGATGATGTCGGAGATGTCGATTGAGGCTTCTGACAGTAGACCGTCATCCTGATGCTCGTTAATAATAGTTCACGTCATCATTATAACTCAACTTACAGGGTAGAGAACGAGTGAATACGCGTGTTGTCAATGTCCTTCCGCGCTTCAGCTAATAGCTTGTCTACCGCGTGGTTAGACCACCCCAACCCTTGCGTAAACACACCGCGGGAATAGATGTCGATGACCTCCAGCGTATTAATCCTCTGCCGTGCGCCGATCCTTTGATACTGCTTCCCGGGAGCCCAAGTATTAGTAGGCACAGCGTATTTCAGTTCGACGATATTTTCAAACCCCGCTTCTTTTAGCAGGGCTTTATACTCGAGGATGTAGAATAGTGACCTGCCAAGCTTCTCGAGACCTATTACAGGAGTTAGTTCTATTGTAAAATAAGAGAATGATTCCGGGATGACCTTCCTTCAGTCAAAAATATGTTCCACTTTTGGAACGCTGTGCCTTCAACAGATTTGTCCGAGGATTGAACATGGAGAAGCCACTCCTGAAACTCAACCCAGCCACCGGGTGCGAGATTATCGTAGATGGACTTGAACAGTCGACGTTTGTTGGTGGGTTCCCCCAGGCTTCGTATATGAATGAGATCAAACGGGCTGCCAAATTTCCATTCCTCATCAGCGTCTGCTATGAGGAAATGACAGTTATTTGTAACAAAGGGCGGGTCTGGCACAGGATTCAGGTCTGTTCCAAGCACGTAACAGTCTGGATTTCTCTTTGCTACACATATATTAGTATTCATGTAGAGGTAGAACGAGAAGTAGAACATGCCGAACTCCACTGCCCATATTCCTGTCCCGGTACCGACATCAAGCACTCTCCTGGGATTTGTCACCGGGCAGATATGTAAGGCCCCATCATGTACATCAACGCTGATTTCATGTTGAAGGTCTGTCATTATGGATCATCAGTCAGCTTCATGTCAATTCGGTGGTAGGATAAAACCTTACTATTCCTCTCTTGTTCTTGCTAGATGTTTATCCATTTTTAGCACAAGATCACTGTTCAAGACGGCATCTACTTAGTCGTGCATACCTTATCATGGGGTAAGAAGTAGTCTTTACATTGGATATTAGCACTAGAGCTCACTTGGACATAGAGAATCACGGTGGAGACGTACTCCTGTTAAATGTGCGGCCAAATTTATAGACTATTGACCGGAAGAGCCTCGAAGAACTTGAACCGGTTGCTGCCTTGGCGAAATTTCTAGAAGAGCAAGTAGTTTTACTGTTAGTTTCATAAGTGCCTAAGGTTGCGAGGATAGGTATACAAAGTGAATGTGATCAGATTGCCTACTTCTTAGTAGTCTGGCGGTAGTCATAATTCTCGACGGGGTCATCTTCCCCGTCACCGCTGGCGCTAGGACCAGCTCCGAAGTCGAAGTTAGATGGTACATATTGGAAAGGATCGGCAGTTTCGATTGGAAGTGACGACGACGATGATGATGGACCACTAGTTGTCGCCGTTGACTTCAAGGTTGAAGTTGAAGCTTTCGTTGATGGACTAGTAGGAGGATAGATAGAAGGGAAATCCCAAGAAAGAGTATTGGTGTAGTCTCGAGGACGAGGGTCATGTGGGACGGGGGCGGTGGATGGGGGAGTTGGGGGTCTCCTTGTCAATAACCCATTTCGTCCACGGCCTTTTGGCGAATCTGTAAGATCAGTAGTTTCCATTTGAACGGTTCACGTTTTCGTTTTCGGGTCCGTGATGTATTATTTTATTAGTGAGTTGGGGGCCAAAGCACAAACGGTTCAGCTTCGGCTTCGGCTTCGGGCCGCTCCCGTATTTATCAACACAAAACTCAACGCAAGTTTTTATTGGGGCTGAGAATAGCTCATGACAATTCAAATGAGGACAGATGATGGTCTACATTGACCTTATAGTACTCGCAGCGAATACTATTATTTTATTCGTAAGGAGGAAAAAGGAGACGTGATGAGAAACTTGGAATTTCATAATCATGTTTATTTATCATTGGTGTTATTCTATTTTGTTTTTTTTTCCTTTCTTTTTTGTCCTTCCTCTTTTTTCTTTTCATTCTACTGGTGTAAATTTTCCTACAGGTCAGTCCTACTTGTATTCTTTACGTAGTGGATTTAAGTGATATTTGAATGTCCCTGGTACGTGGAGAGTCGGTTGGTCGGATTAACTTGGCAACACGAACTAGTTATCCCTCGCAGCCCTCATTTATAAAATTTCAATACTCCTTACTGCTTACCAACTAACGTGCAGATCTGGTAGGACTTAGCAATGTTGTACTAAACCCAAGTACCGACAAACTGGGGAAAGGCACTTTATTATTGCTCCACCTACTGTCATGAGAATGGTTACGTGGGGGGTAAGGTTGCATTATTGGCCAACAAGAAAGCCAGTGTCACAACACAACGTCACTCTGTTGTTTGATTTTGTCTTGGGCTGTCGTTATGTATGTAGTGTTTGCTAAATTCTAACGATGAAGCTATTCTGTAAATAAGCAAGTATATCATAAGACATTTCCTAAACAAGGCTTACATCTGAGCTGTTAGAGAAGAAGAAGAGGAAGAAAAGAATAATTCGAATTACTGGCCAACTTCCCTTCAGCTCCACAAACTCTGAAAACTCATCCGCAAACTCCGTAACTCTTGACAAAACCTCCGGGACAAGGATCCACACCTATCACATCGGAAGCTGACGAATCACTTTCAATGGTCTGTGTTGCCGTCTCCTTACTCTGAGACTACCTATTTGAACTGATATGTAGTCTGAACTCACGATAAAGATTGGTAAGATGACTTGCGGTGAATATTATCTGGTGACCATGACCTGAGGTAGTATTATAGGTACTACGCTATCGAACGAGGTGCGACTGAAACATGAATTTCACTTGGGAGCCGTCTGCTGCGAGTCTATGATATAATGCAATATAGAAGAGGTGTATACTCTATAAAGACAGATCTCCTTTTATTTAGTCCAATAGCTAAGACTTTCCTCAAAACTCATGGTTTATTCTGTGCCTCTCTCTTACCTCATCTGGTCAGATAATAGTAAAACCCACCGAGATGTAATCCACCGAGAATATTCTCACTCAGCAAGCTCGACCTTTCGAGAGTATACGTACTAATATCAGTCGTAAGATCTTCATCCAATGCTAACAGTTCTATAGAAATATCGAAGGAGTATGCGTGTCATTACGCACGCACGGATACTAAGAAAGAAACTTAGCCAAAACAAGGCGACACTATGTTAATAGTAGCCTATCAAAAAATAGTCAGGAACGAAGCCATTTATATCGACAACAGTGCCTTAGAGGCTCCGCATGTTTGCATTGATCCTCTGGGGAAACCGGAGACCAGATGCTCTAGACTAAACTAAGGTCCCAGCGGACTGGTACATGCGCCTTCAACTTGCGCCATGCCGTTGTTTAGATATTGCACCAACCGCCCTTGCAGCCAAACAGGATAGTGTTACCCACCGAGATAATAAACTAAATGCGTACAAAAGCAACACATCGCGAAACAATACAGTTGTGGAGTGTACTAGGATTCTAGCCATCTCGCTACAAACCGATTATAGCACGCAACGGTATAGGCTGCGATGTTAGCGTCTTGATTTGCATTAGCAGCAGGACAACACAGCATGAACGAGGGATGGCGTCGGGATGTAACCTAGTCTAGTCTACGTAGAGACAGGAAAGAATGGCGGTTTACCAGCTCGGTGGATGGCCCGAAAGACAGTTCGCCCCAGCGGTATGACCAATTTCGGCGCCTTGTACAGGTTGATATCTATGGTGTTGGCTCACGATCACCGAGCCATGCTTTATCCAGACTGCAGTAAGAAATATCGACCGAATTGCCGCTTATTCACTGGTAGTGTAGACTGTAATAAGAACGTCCAAGTCGCCTGTGAATTTGGTCAAGTTAGTATTGAACATTAACCACGTTGTGTCTTACTATAATCCTCATAATTTACTAATAGCTTTATCATCGCCATGAATCAAACTTGCAGCTTCTCTAAATCATGCTCCTCCACTACCACCTCTAATTTTACAGAGGTCAAGGACGTGGCAACTCCGGCACAAGTTCCGATAGCTATCTGTGGGCTTGGCTT